GCCAGACGTACCAATGGCAAAACCACGTGGGCGCTTTTTCTGTTCTCTGCGCCTGGACCAATTTAATGGTCAAAGTCGGCCAACTGCCATGGTTCGATATTTACGTTGCGATGTACACTGAAGTTCTAAAAGAATTCGCCAAACATCTAATGGCCTATATGTGCTTACTGATAGGGTTTTCTGTCAGCCTTTGTGTGGTATTCCCGAGTTCTCTGTGGTTTAATAATCCAATTACCGGTTTTGTCAAAGTACTGGTGATAATGGCCGGCGAGTTGGACCTCAATTTATTAGAAGTGCACAACCAATCTCCATTAATGACCCAATTGAGTGCCTATATTGTCTATGTAGCACTTTTAGTTTTCGTGTCCATCATACGTATGAATCTTGTCGGTATCGCCGTTTTTTTTTTTTATGTCAGATAAAACTCATTCATTACATTGAGTTATTCATGTTAAGGAGCTATTGGCCGAAAAGCATCAAACGCAAAGCTCTGGTTTACCTGTCCAAAAACAGGGCATATATGACGGTGAAGCCGTTAAATCAAAGACAAGCACTGCCGAGGGACATCATTGACGCCATACGAACGTTAGTCAAACGGAAAAAACAAGATCATTGCGAAAACAATGAACAGTTGAGTATTAAGGAAATTTTGAAAGAAGTGAAAGAACTGAGAAACGTCGTGGATGAAAATCAAAAAGTTATTAGACGCTTTCTCATGAATTTAAATAGCGCTAAGTAAACTAACAAACTAATTTTAATAACGTGATATTAATAAATTTTAACATTTTCGCAATTTTATGGATAGTTAGATGATTTATTTATTTAAACTTTATCAATAGGATATTTGTTTCGATTAATGGTACATTAAAAAGTTTACACGACATAAAAACTCTGTAGTTTTGCAAATATTGCATGTTTTGTTAAAATCTACATTATAGATTTTAACAAAACGTGCAATAATTGCTTTACTTGAAGACATTTTCCGATTTTTTATTAAATAATTATTAGTTTTCAAAACTACAATAATCATAGCAAAACTACATTAAATAAATAAATACCAAGTAATTTATAATATACATTAACAACGAGACTATAACTAATATCCGGTCACATGAAAAAAAGTAAATAAATGCAAATACTCTCACATAATTCTTTTAATATTATAAGATTCGTCATTATTATAGGTGAATTATCAATAAAAAAAAAACACAGCACGGAGGGGTCGTGGCACAGTGGTGACGTGGCATAGTTGGATCAAGTATAATGATATCTGACAGTGATTAAAATCACTATAAAAAAAAAACGCTTCGATGCAAATCTTTAGATAGTGTTTAATTTTAAAAAATTGGTGAATTATTCCAAAAGCTACATAATCTGCTAGTTCCTTATTAATATCCTGATTAAGATAAAGTATATCGAATGAAAAAGGGATTATTAAAAAATATTATTTCTCATTAAAAAATTATGTTGATCCATACACTTTTCAATAAGTTTTATCATTATAAAGTTAAAAATGGAGAATACAAAATCAAAAATTTTCACACAAAAATAGCATTTGGTAGCCATTTTCACAGTGAAGATAAGATAACGTCTGAAATTTTTTTTTTTCATGATTAAGTATATTACATTAGCTTTAATTTAAGATATATATAAAAGTGTCAGACTTTCCGGAACACTATCAAAATTTAAGTTGAAAAAGTTAATTTTTTGTGAAAAAGTTGTCATTTTAAATCCCNGTAAATTTTTTGTGAAATTGTCATTTTGAATCCCCCCCTGAAGGTAGGTAAAAAGTCAGATTAATAAAAAAAAATATACCAAATGATAGGTAAAGACATCAAGCATCTATAAAAAAAAAAATGATATTAATATGTTTATTTTTGAAAAAGTTACGGCAGCTTTTAGTAAAAAAAATTGAAAAAATTTCGAAAATTAGCGATTTTTAAATTTGTAATTTTTTTGGAGGTTTCCCCCATTTACAGGGAACGAGGGAATTTTTTCAATTTTTGAGGGCAATGTCTTGGACTAGATACGATTTGTAATATTTTAACGTATCATTGAAAGAAATTGGTTCGGAGAGATCTGAGAAAAAGTGGTAACAGACACAAAAAAAACATATCTTAGTAAAACCAATACCTTCTCAGCTTCGCATCGAAGCTAAAATGATTAAATTACAAAGTAAAATGATTTAATTTTATAGTTGAAACCAATCATATCAAATTTATTTCATCAATAAATACTTTGAAAACATTAAAAATGAATGATTTTAATTTTCTATCTGGAGAGCTTGAAATAACTAACTGTTTAATTGATAAATTATAATTTTTTTTCAATTTTTGAGGGTAATATCTTCAACTAGATACGAATTGTAGTCATTTGACGTATCGTTGAAAAAAGTAACCTCAACTCGGTAACCGTACGTCGCTACCGTTTTATGAAAAAATGGGCTATTTAAGCTAATTCAAATTTCAAAGTTATTCTTCTCCACTTAAAAGAAGCAAACAAATTTGAATAAGTTTAATTTTCTATACTATATTAATTTTTTATTCATATAATATTTATGAAAATCTGTACTCTCTTTGTCAGGTATTTTAAAATAAAATAAAATACAAAACCCAGAATTTTAACACAAAAATAGCAAATTTTTGAATACGTTAGTCATTTTTACCATGAAGACAAATCCAGAGGTCAATTTTTTTTTTTCAAATTAAAGTATATTATATAAGCTTTAATTTAAGATATATATAAAAGTGTCAGAATTTCCGGAATACTTTCAAAAATTAAATTGAAAATATCATAGTAACAATACGCATGATTAAAGTTTTGACCCCCCTTGTTAAAGGGGTATGATCCGATTTACAAAATTTTTTAAATATTTATTATAAAAAATAATAATATTGATCCATACATTTTTCTAAAAGTTATATAAAATATAAATTAAATAATATAAAATATAAAATCGAGAATTTTTTCACGGAAATCGTACGTTTTTCTTTAACTTTGATGTTCGTTTTCACCACGAAGACAAGTTCAGAGGTCAAATTTTTTTTTTTCAAATTAAAGTATATTATATAATCTTTAATTTAAGGTATATATAAAAGTGTCAGCCTTTCCGGAACATTTTCAAAAGTTATGTTGAAAAAGTTAATTTTTTGTAAAAAAGTTAACATTTTGAAACCCTCCCTGTGAACTGTTAAAGGGTCAAATGTTCACAAAAATATAGAAAATAATAGATAAATATCTAAGGTATCTATAAAAAAAAAAATTATATTGATTCGGTCATTTTTAAAAAAGTTATGGCAATTTTAAGTAAAAAAAATTGAAAAAATATCAAAAATTAGCGATTTTTAAATTTGTAATTTTTTGGGGGATTTCCCCCATTTACGGGGAACGAGGGAATTTTTTTCAACTTTTGAGGGTAATGTCTTCAACTAGATACGATTTGTGGTCTTTTGACATATTATTCATTAAAATCGGTTCAGTGAGAGCTGAGATTGAGTGTATACAGACACAAAACAAAAAAAAAAACACATCATAGTAAAATTAATACCTTCTCAGCTTCGCATCGAAGCTAAAAAATATTGTCCTGACAATTATTTTCCTATGAGTAATCGTCTATCAAAATAAAAAAATTATCATTTAGAAAAGTAAACTTTATTTATAATTAAGCAAATAATTTAACAAGCAATTAATATTTTAGTGAAATTTTAAAGCAAAGAGATTCTAAAATTACAAATATACAAATTATTGTAAAATGTAACAGTTTCACAATGAAGCGTTTTTTTTATAATTTTGATGTTGATTACTGTCAGATTTTCTATTACTGTCTCAATCATGCCGCAATTCACAGTGCTGAAATTTTTCTAAGTTATGAGAATAATTGGTACACATATTATATATATATATAGAATGGAACATATCTAACTGATAACTCATATAACTTATGATCTCATAACATTTTATACATTTTTTTAATTCATTTATACAATATAGGAATATATTTAAAATATTTTTCATGTTATTTTCATTTAATTACAAAATATATTAAAAAATGTATCTTTTAATCAAAATTTATTTAGTATTTGAAAATAACCATTTAATAGATAAGTATTAAAGAAAAATTTTGATAACAAACACTCTTACTTTAATTTAGTATTTAAGTTTACATAGCATTTACAAGTTTGTTAAATTTTGAATTTTTTTTATGATTTCTTTATGATATCAAACATTAGTCTGCGTATGTAAAGTACAAAAATAAACATTACCTTTTTACGTTTTTCTCAGGTAACAGCACACGATTTCCTTTCCATGAAATATAGTATTGTTTGAATGTGCTTTTTACAGAAATTATTTAGTCAAATCTTTATTACAAAATTTTAGAACCGTTTTCGTATGTTAACTACAAGTTTTTGGTGGTAAGTCAAGTTAAAAGTGATTAAAATTATTAATTTGCGTGTTTCTATCATTGGTATCATATTATTTTAGGATATTTCTTCTTGGGAAATTTGTTAATAAATGGCGCTTATTCATTATTATTCGCGTTTAAGTTAATGAAATATGAACCTATTTAATAAACAACTCCACGTGTTTTAGATAACTTTTCTATAATATATTTGATAAACTTAATATTACTAATACTTGTTTTTTCTTGTTAATTACAAATGCTTATTCAAGTGTTAATAGTTATATTGGAAAAGAAATCTTCTACTGTTAAAAGTAAATAAAGTAAAAAGATAATGTTTACTTTTGTCTTTTACATACGTGGACTAACGTTTCATACCATAACAAAATTCAAAATTTAACAAACTTCAAAATATTGTATAAGTGTAACTAGTAAATTAAAATATGAGTGTTTAGTATCAAAATTTTTCTTTGAAACTTATCTATATAAAATCCGTTTTTTAATATATATTTTGTAATTGTAATAAATAACATAAAACATATTTTAAATATAGTCCTATATTTTAAAAATTGATTATAAATATATATATATGTGTGTGTTAGGTAGATCATATATAAATTCTGTTCCAGTGTGTATATATGTATAAAATTCTTTTTTTTTTTTTGAGAAAATAAATATTTTACTTTTTAATTTCATGAATCTATTTTAATAGATAAGATAAAATCATTATGTTAATTATTTTTGCTAAGATAAAATATAATTGTATCAATAACTTTTATCATGAATGTTATAAATAAATCTTATATTCTTAAAGTTTTAGTTAGATAATGGTCTAAATTGATTATCTGGAAGAGGTATGCTCTGAATAGAAGGTATCATAGACATAGAACGAGAAGTTTTAAATGGAGGTTTTGGAAATATAATTCGTGCTTTTTGTTTTTTGGTCCACCACCGAACTGCATATTCAATTGTTAACATGAAACTCGCAACAAGCATTCCCACAACTAAAAGCACAAACATCCCTTGAACATCATCCAACGTGAGTTGTCGATCCACAGGTTTTGTTTTATACGTCAAAGACTAAAAATGTTTTATTGAAAAACAAAATAAAGTATTAATATTGCCAGTTTATTATAAAAATTCATTTTTACTTGTTTTGTCTTTGAACCTTGAATGATTTCCCATTCTATATCTTTTTTTATTTTATACAATAATCCACTTTGTTGAGATCGTAGTATAATATCACCAAATAAGTTACGAAACTGAAAATTTTTTTTGTACGCCAACCCTATATTGAAAGGAATATAACACTCGGATCCGACGTGAAAGAAAATTTTACGATTGTTATACCTAGTTTTTAAATAACTATTTTAGACACGCAGTTCTTTTTATACATGTTTAATATATATTAATAAATTTACTGTACTTTTCTATAAAATTGCTCTGAGACAAATAGGTGAGAGAAATTTTGGAGCCCAGAAACGCGTAGTCCAGTATGAATCGGGTTTTGACAATAAAGTCCATGGCATCTTCCAAGGTGGTCATGAATTTAACGTTTTTAAACAGTTCCTTTGACACAATATCATCAGTTGCATTGAGGTATTTTTTCCATACACCTTTATCTGTAAATAAAAAAACTATACATAATGCGTACTATATAAAATTACAGTATAGTTATCAACTAATTTAGATCACTTACTTAATGTTATGGTCCTATATTTCTCTTGCATCAACTCATATGAAGTATCCGCAGTCATTGGTTGTGCGGGTAAAGTAATAAATGCAATTATAGAGCTAGTGTAAGCAGTGGTGATTATTATTGTGAAAATCCAATATGTTCCTATATTCATAATTATAATTAGCTAGTAGACTACAGGGTGATCAATTAAGGATAAGATACTCTTGTTGACAATGTAGTTGAACTAAATTTATTTATTTATTTATTCAACGGGATTGACCCTTATTATACAAAAATATAGTTACTGAAAATGAAACAAAAACAAAACAAAAAACAGTAATATAAAAATAATAAACATTAAGAAAAAAAAACAAACATTTAAACAAAAGTATATAAAATAAATGTTTAATTAAAATTGAAGAGGGGTCTTCATTGGCATTTTTCATTAAACGTTTAATTGACTCATTATAAATATAATTAGAAAAATAGATAGGTATGAAGAAGAGAATGTGATTTCTGGATATTCTCTGGGTAATTTTAAAATTAATTAACGCTAAAAGAGATGGAGAGTCAACTTTACCATCACGTAAATTTTTTAAGAATTTAGTATCTAGGGCCTTTCGGCGATCAGCAAGTGAGGGAAGATTAAGGTATTCGGCAATAGGTGAGTATTCATGTTGGGGATGGGGAATATCTAATACAAGACCAGTAAACCGCAAAAACCTACGTTGTACTCCTTCAACCAAACAAGCGTCGTTGGCTGCATATGGATTCCAGATGATAGGACCATACTCTAAAATAGGACGAACTAAGACACAAAATAGTGTTCACAAAAATCACTAATTTTTTATCGATAGCCACGGCAATTTTGGTAGATCCCAATGACGGGTAATCTGGTAGACGAGTTAGTTATGCTTGAGAAGTTTGTAGTCGACTTCTTACGTTCTTTGGGAGAGAAGTTGCAACTTTTTGTTCACCATTAATGTATACAATCTTCAAGTTTGATTCACCATTACGAGTTCTCATGTCCAGTTCTTAGAGACAGGAGCGTAGCGATTGACGTTGCATAGGAGTTTTATCGCGTACAAAACGAAAATTACCAAAGGAGTGATTACCAGAATTTTTACGAGAGTTTAATTCAATAAGTAGGCGTGTTACTGTCACTTAGGCATCACATATAATTTTAATAGGACGATTAGTTCCAGAACGAGATTTACCAAGCCGAATTATTTTAGAACTTGTAGGAATTTCTAAACCAAGAGGTTGTAGGAAATTACAAATAGACTGTTTGTTGTTGGTAATTCTCTCATTAATAGTAGAAGACAAGGATTCAGGTACATCATACACAATTATATTATAGGAACACCTTTCACGCTCAAACAGCTCCTGCAAGACTGGACCAATACTAGAAGACGTCTGGGTTAACGATTCACGAGTTTCAAAGTTACTTAGTTTAGTATTAAATGTCACAATTTCATTACTTAGTCTAGCATTTTCAAGTTTAAATTCAGAAATTTGAGCGAGTGCACGTTTAAAATCATTTCTAAAGCTATTATTCTTATTGATAGGGTAGTGATCTTACAATTAGTTGTTGAGCTGAGTAACCTTACAAACTTTGAAGTAAATTCGATGAACTAATAAATATAGTTTAAAAAATTGAAAAAAATCGAACTATAAAGTTAAAAATTATTTTTAACTTTTTAGTTCGATATTGCTTTAAAAGCGTGTTTTTCAGTTTTTTTTAATTATATTTATTTTTTACTTTTTAGTTTTTTATGACATCGTTGTCACAGTCACAGAGTGTTTATTATCAATTATGACAATCAATAGATATAAATTTTGTATTGCCAGTTAGTGTGTTTGTAAACTCACAACAATGTGTTTTATTACCATTGATAATAAAGGCTACCTGTAATTGTAATCCCTTATATATTATACACGTATATTAAATCAAAAAAAGTTTGTCGAGTTTGGTCATGCGGCACGTCCGGAGCCGGTGGCGTACATCATCGACGTTGTCACTTTAACAACGGGAAGAAGACTAAACGTATAAACAATAATACTTATAGTAGGGCGACGGATGATAAAGATGGCACGAGTGACGGGGCCGTGTCTCAATAAAAATTTGTTTATATATATAAATATATATAATTGATATATATTATAATTGATGACACGCACGCACGGTACGAAAACCAAAAATAAAATTATACAGGAAAATATTGTAGTTGGTGAGTGGTGAACGGGGTGGGGTGAAAGCGTTACGACAGTTTAGTCTCAAGGTCATAGACGACGGGATACGCGAGAATAATAACACATGGCGCGTGGAGTTACAAACAACAAACACACATACATGTGAAACTAATATAAGCGTGTTAAAAAAACTATAACCTCCAACGACTCGCAAGCTTAAAGCAAGAACTAATTATGAAGAAAAACACCACCAAACAAAAAACGACGAATAGAATATTTGTAATTAATTAACTTATAAGGAACACAAGTAACTAGGTTAACTGATAACACTGATTATTAAATTATTTTTTTAATTTTCTTGACACTATTGAATATTTTCAGTTTTTGTAAAGGTTAATATTGTCTCATTCAAAAATCACACATTAATAAGTTATTAAATAATTTTTTTTCATCCCAGAAGGTTTGAAAAAATTGTTTAACTACATATTATTGTAAAGTTTTTTTGAATTGAACAATTTTTACATTTACGAAAATTAAAAATTTTGAAGAGCTTCTAAGAAAATTAGTGTTTTATCCTTAGTTGATTAATGTACTCTGTATAAAATGTTTGGTTAATATACTATTTGAAGTGTACCGATGAAGAGTCTAGTAGATCCTGTTTTGGTATTAGTCCACGATCTCGTTCCTTTGAATGTAAAAAGGTTAGTGAATGTACCAAACATATAACAACACATGTTTTCTATTTCTTTAGGAGTATTACACAACATTTTAACGTTTTGATTGTTAGTAAAAGCTATAGGGAAAATAGCTAAAATGTATGTAAATAATACCATAAACCAAATACTCCAATGAAAAGGACCAAATATTGCTCTATACCTATTAAATAAGCATTTATACGTTCAATTAGTTAAGTTGCATGATTAGTTATATATAATTAATTTGATAATTATTAACTCTAATAAAAACAGATTTACTTTTAAGTTGTTATTTAACATTGAAATAGAAATAACAATACCTACTAAAATCAAGGTTGATTATGTATATTATAAGATATTAGCTTGGATGCGAAGCTTAGAAGGTATTAATTTTACCATGATGTGTTTATTAATTACTTATTTTTTTGTGACTGTCACTACTTTTTCTCAGCTCACACTGGACCGATTTTTCTCAACAATACGTCAAAAGTTCACAAATTGCATCTAGTTGAACACATTACCCTCAATAATTAAACAGTTTTCCCTCGTTCCCCGTAAATGGTGAAAGTACCCCAAAAAATTAAGTTTTTTTAAGTCCGAAAATTTTTTTTGCATAATAAAGTATATTATATTAGCTTTAATTTAAGGTATATATAAAAGTGTCAGTATTTCCGGAACACTTTAAATATTTAAGTTGAAAAAGTTAATTTTTTGTGAAAAAGTATTCATTTTGAATCCACCATGTAAGCAGGTAAAGAATTAAATTTATAAAAAAAATATATCAAATGATAAGTAAAAACATTAGGCATCTATTAAAAAAAAAATTATATTGATTTGTTTATTTTTGAAAAAGTTATCACAGTTTTAAGTAAAAAAAATTGAAAAATTTCGAAAATTAGCGATTTTTAAATTTGTAATTTTTTGGAGATTTCTCCCATTTACGATGAATGGAAGAAAAATGTTCAATTTTTGAGGGTAATTTCTTCGACTAGATACGATTTGTGATCTTTTGACGTATCGTTGAAAGAAATCCGTTCGGTGAGAGCTGAGAAAAAGTGGTAACAGACACAAAAAAGAAAAGTTAATAAATAAAAAAAAATATATCATAGTAAAATTAATACCTTCTCAGCTTCGCATCGAAGCTAAAAAAATTATTTTATTTTGTTAATTTTTCCAAATTTAATTGATGTTTTAAGAAAAATAAAAAGTGAAAAAAATGTCAAAAATTACTGATTTTTAAGATTTTTTTGGAGATTTCTCTCATTTACGAAGAGCTAGGAAAAATTTTTCATTTTTTAAGGGATGTCTCTTCAACTAGATATGATTTGTGATTTTTAGACGTATCGTTGAGAAAAATCGGTCCAATGAGAGCTGAGAAAAAGTATTGACAGACACAAAAAAAAACCCAGCACAGTGGGGGCTATGGCAATGATTTTTTTGCAATTTTCCTTAATTCTTTTTGAGTTAGAATTTTGTTTTTGAATAATCCACCAATTTTCTTGAAATTCAACACCATCTACAGATTTTCATCGAAGTGTTTCTTATAATAGTGATTTTAATTACAGTCAGATATCATTTTTATCATTAATATTAATAATTTATACTTGTTTTAACCATGCCACGCCCACACTGTGCCGCGACCACACTGTGCTTCCGTTTTATTAATTACTTGGACAGCGCAAAAGAGCCCAATGAAAGAAATGTACCACAATCTCGCACAAGAACTGGAGAAAAGTCGACTATTGGATAACGACTATTAGTTATGTAAATTCCTGAAAGTCCAAAATCCGCTTTTTTTTCTATTAAATCATTAATAATACGTTGTTCAGGCTCATTCCTAAAAATAAATTTATTTGAAATCAGTTTATTGACGATTATAAAATTTGGTGTATCAAATTACATCATATCTTTGGAAAAACTAGCATCATGTATATCTAATGTAAAATTTAACGTTTGAGCTATCATTCGTAATAATCTGATTTCGATACCATCCCAATAGTTGCTGTCATTTTGATCTGTGTCAGGTCTGAGATGTGAGCTTCCATAAATAATTAATTAAACAAAATATAAATATCTTAATTATTTAGAGATTCATCTAAGCTTATATGAACTCCCGCAAAATTTATTATGCATATTAAATAAGATTAAAACTATATTAAAATTATTATTAATTTAAAAACGAAAAAATATTAAAAATATTAAACTCAAAAGCCACAAAAACTTACTAAAAAGTGACTTTTTAGTAATTTTTTAGTTTTTAAATTAATAATATTTTTAATATAGTTTTAATTTAATTTAATTAATTAGCCACAAGTGATCAATTTTTATTATATTATTATGCATAGTTTAACTCATCGATTTTAACAATTTTCCAAGAAGCAATAAGAACTTGATCACTTTATTAATACTTTGAAACGTAATATATTATATTAATTAAGTTTTTTGTACTTTTTAAAAATTGACAATTGTATGATATATTTAATAATACTGGAAAAACTTACCTACGAAATATTAAAGGTGGTTTATCGATGGCAGACAATATAAATCGGTGACCCTGAAAACCATGATCTAACTTAGAAGGGTACAAGTTTACTTCTGGTCTTGTTAAACGATTCTTTTTCCACGTGGTCAATATTTTTTGAACACTATTTCCTAAACTGTCTACATAAATATCATGAGTGTATAAATTTATATCAGGTACTGCCTAGATTAACACACGCGATAAATAAATGTTCATGAATTATTGATTTACTTTGCAATAATTACAACACTGGCATAATGATGGATGGAATGTGGATATGACACCCATATCCCCATTGTCAACTTTTCACCGAATTATAAAGAAGAAATTGAATTGTAACATAGTGTTTTTATAATTTTGATAATGCAACACATTGTTATTTATTAAATATTAAACAAATAAAAAATGAATCTGTAGATAATGTTTAATTCTAAGAAATTGGTGGATAATTACAAAAGCAACATCTTACATTCAAAAATATAATGCATAATTTTTTAATTATGTATTATATAATTTTTACAATTAATTATTTTCAAATTATTATTGATTTTGATTTTTAACATGTTAAAAGTAATCATTCTTAACGTATTTTTTTTTATCCTTTAAAGTGAAAGTTTATAATAAAAAAAAAATGAATTTATTATTATAACTTTTAGCTCGAATTGCAAGTCATCATTACATAAAAAAAAATGGTACTTCTTAAGATTAATATGTTATCAGGAAATTTTATAATTACTATTTACAGTAAATTTATCAGAAAAGCTCAATATTTTGTTTGCATTTTTTAAACTTATAGTATTAGTTATAAGCTTTAATTTAACATATGTTTAAAGAACGCAATATTTCCGGAACATTTTCAAAAGTTATGCTGAAAAAGTTCTACTTTTTATACTTGTGTTTGAAGTTTTTAACGCCCCCCAGTATAAGGGGTATATATAATGTATTTAGAAACAAAAATTTGTTTTGATCTATACATTTTTCGAAAAGGTATAGCAATTTAAAATCGAAAAATTTAACACATAAATAGCATTTTTTTAACTACAGCAGCCGTTTGCACGTAGAAGATAAGTTGGGACATTTTTTTTAAATTTATGGTACGTATTATAAGCTTTAATTTGATATATGTTTAAAGGACGCAGTATTTCCGGAACATTTTCCAAAGTTAAGTTCACAAAGTTGAATTTTGTAGAAAAGTTGCTATTTTGAAACCCCATATTGTGGGCAGGTAAAGGATCAGATTTTCAAAAATATTATATAAGATACAAGAGAAATACATGAGATATTTAATATAAAAAAAATTATATTAATTTGTTCATTTATAATAACTTTTTAGAAAAAAAAGTAAAAAAAGTATCGAAATTTACCTATTTTAAAAATCATAATTTTTAGGGGATTTTCACCATTTACAGGGAACGGAGGAAAAATGTTCAATTTTTTAGGGTAATGTCTTCAACTTGATATGATTTGTGATCTTTTGACGTAATTAAATAAACACATCATGGTAAAATTAATATGTTCTCAGCTTCGCATCGAAGCTAATAATATGTATTATTAAGAGTAAAATTTATAAATTACCGAATTTATATGATCACTAAAATCCACCAAAAAAAAGCTTAACCCGCTTTTTAGATTAGTAACAATCAAGGGAACCTCGTTTTAGTCATTAAATTTTTGCCCCCCCATGTAAAAAATAATCCGGCGCCCCCGTGCTAGATCACAAATAATTTTCTCGTCATTAATATAATAAAATTTATATATTAAAAATATATAAATATATTTATAGTTTTTTTTATTTTTTGTATAGCGTCCTTTAAAATAATTTGGTAAATTTTCTTTAGGTAAAACACCTTTATGAGAAGGATATTATAAGGGCATAAGATATTATATTATAAATGAAACTATAGAGGCAATATACTACAAATGAAATTATTAATATATGACATTGTAAATATATTGTTTTCATTACCTTTTCGTTATTTGATTCATGTAAAATTGGTCCGACATCAGCCACTAATAAATCCATTAGATGTTGTGCGACTTTACCATTAAAAAATTCTTTAATATGCCACTTAGAATCAGACGTAACAACAAATACTCTACTGTTAAAGGCATATCCAAATTTGGCAACTGTATGATCAAGATCATGACATAAAATCATATAATTCCTACAACCAGGCTCACTAACTTTTGATGTTTTTACTTTTGCAGAGTGCCGAGATATATGGTAGACTTCATATGACACAGATTGTATCGATAATAACACAAAATTCAAAACATCCTTAAGAAGAAAACATTATTCATTTTTTAAAAGTAATTTCTAAATTAACTTTACATGTTTACTCTGTTCAATAGTATCATTTAAACATTTAAAATACCAAAACTTTGATTTTTTAAATGTATTAAACAAATCATAAATAATTGAGATTTCAACTTTTTTATTAGATCAGTCAACATTAATTAATGTGTAAGAGACTACATTTTCAAATAAAATTACACTATGTTTAATGAATAATTTAGTTTATATCTATTAATGAAATCCGATTTTAAGTGTATTAGTGCAAATAAAGTTCAACTAAAATTAAACAATTATTCTGAGCACCAATAAATATGCGGCTGGTCGTCGTCGGCCGTGTGGCACTTGCTGGACTTTGCACCGTGGCGTATGGCACGCGATGTTGGTCAGTCAAATACTCATAGTAGGGCGACGGCTGATAAAGGTGGCACGAGTCGCGGGGCAACGTGTATAACGAAGCGACGCGGGGCCGTGTCAAAATCAAAAATTAGGAAACTTTTTTGACAATAAATTGATAATAACGAAGCGTTTTCAAGACAATTTCAAATAAATTGAAATCTTTTTCGACTAAGATGGAGGACACCTTTCATCATACCATTTATAACTGCATAAATTATAATACAATTTGCAATAGAATTGGTGCTGATATTAATTAGTTCAAAATATTATAATAAAGTGTACCACTTAAACTTAAACAAAGTTTTTAAATTGATCTCAACATAAGTTAGATAATATAATTAAGACATAACATTATATTCTCAACTTACTTTGTGGTATCGGTCATTCCCAAATAAGTCGTCAACAATTATATTTAAATGACATCTACTCAGATATTTGTTTATAACTATGTTAGTTAATGAACTCAGAACTTTAACTTCTTGTTTATCTTTCTTTGATAATAAAATAAAATTTTATAAGTACCATAATAGTACATTTTGAGTTTTATATTTTTTACTTACATGAACTACATTTAAGTGCAATATATGATTTTCTAAATGAGAAATAGATACAACGTATTTATTAAAAACTACGCTAAAAATTAACAATCGAAATGTCAAGAACTTCATGTTATCTCTTAAAAAGAGTTAAGAATAAACACAATTTTAGTAGTAAGGTTTTTGTGTTCTAACACAGTCATACAATGGCAACAGTAACATCACATTATTTACAGTCATGCAATCGTATGACATAACTGATGCCACTTTGATTTTATGAAAGTAATAATAATAATTGCAGTTTTGAAAGAAAATGAGACTTTGATTATTAATTTTTTATTGTGTTTGCATTATTAAATTTGTGATTTAGTTTTCATTTTTTTTTTAAATTGATTCATGACCATGTTATTTTCATAAACGAGAATGGCGACTAATGACAAAATTATAACATACAAATTTAGTAATGTTTTTGGTGCAATTAAATGAGCCAAATGTCTAATATCATTTTAGTTGTATGAATTTCCACACTAGTAAAATTTTTACAAGTATTGTTAAGAAACACACAATATTTGCTCACAAAAGTTAAGTAATCAAATATGTAAAATATTTATTTACCTAAGTTTAAACACCACCCCAAGTTGGCCCACTTAACGTACGTACAATGTAAAGTTTTCAAATGTATCATAATAAAATTTATATTTAAAATTTTTTTGCATTAATAGGTCAAATATATTAAATGATATATTTTTCTCTGACCTTAAAATACGTTTTTATGTTACAATATATATAATTTTTTAAATAATATAGGGGGCTAAACTCTCCAAGTATTTAACCATTTTTTGCCAATGTGTATAGAATTAGTGTAAAGTTAAAGAGGATTTAGTGCAACAGCACACTTAATTTGTTTGAATAAATTTAAAACTTTTATACTGTTATTCATAGTGTCACAAACAAGATTTAATTATGAAAGGAAATTTCTTTTAAATTTAGTTTTGCTCATCACATTAAAGAACCAAGAGTTACCTGAAAAGTAAGTCTACACATTTTAAAAAGTGAGTATAGTGCCGGACTAAAGCCAATATGGGCGCCAAGATCACTGACAGAATAGGTCTCTCTTCCACAAAAATACCTTCATAATCGCAATTTTTAAAAATATTGCAGAGGGCCATAATATATTTCATCCACCATTAAAAAGAAAATTGAATAAAATAATAAATATTACAAGCTGTTTTGTGTCCTAAAACGTTTTTAATATAGACGTAGGTAATATTACCAAAAAACGAACACCACTGTTTATAACAATTTATTAATCTGTCTGTAACAAGTTGTAGTTGGTAATTGTTACAACAAAGAAAATATACATGTTGAAATCAAAATTAAAATTAGTGTAATTATTTATTTTACTATTAAGTAAAAAAATTATAATTTATGCTGATGTAGTTTTACAAAATAGCAGGCTGCTATGTGATTTGTTTTTTTGGAACTCTTCGCGACGATCAGTGTTATTGTCATTGTCATTGCATCGTTATTACCGTCTTATGTTATAATTGTTGTTTGTATAATTGTTGTTTTACTAAATTAAATTGTTGATATACTTTTGTTTAGACAGTGATTAAATATTATTTTTAACTCCTTCCTTTCAACAATACAAATTTAATCTTACTGTATTATCACAATTTTTGATATGATAACACTAATTGTTTATTCATTGAAAAATTTTGATTTTCAACATAAAATAATTAATTAAAATTATTGTTTTAGTTAATTTATAAATATTTTAGTTTTAATGTGTAACTGAGGAACTATTAGTTTTACTTTGCCTGTTTTCTTTTTGTGCCTGTATACGCGATTACTACCATACCTACTGAATTGATTTTATTCAGTGATACGTCAAAAAATCAAAACGTATCTAGTTGAAGCTATAAACAGCATAATTTTTAAAAATTCCGAATTGTCTCAATAATAAATAGAAATGTTCTAAATAATTACGGTTGTCAAAAAACAATCAATGTTCGTATTTTTAGTATTCACTTTACATTGATATACCTTTTTGACAACTTGATGAATTATTGCGGAATGACTATTGATAATACTAGAAACATTTGCTTTGCCGACAAAATACTTTTATTGTATATTCAATCATTAATTAAAAGGTACTTTGAGAACTTGAAAATCATATCAACATTTTGTTCTTTTCAATATTAGAAAATCTTTCAAAATACCTATCTTTTCTAAACCTTATTTAAACATATTATTTTTGAAAATACAATCATACAATCAAGGTACTGGGAGGCTTAAAAATCATATCAAAATATTTTGTTTTTTAATTTCTTGATTATTTTCCAAAAATCCTAACTGTTTCAAACCTATATTAAGCTAAAGATAACACAATGTACTTTAAGATGAAAAAATAAAAACCATTTAAAATCACGAATTCCAGAAGTTACGGGGTATTAAAACCAATAATGATACAATTATTGTCAAAATATCCCATTTTGTAATATTTTTCACAGTAACATTATTTTAACATCATTTTTAATTATTTCAAATTTAAGGTTGTTTAGTATAATTGAAAAAGGAAAACCTTCTGGTAACTAATTCTTTATGATTAATCAATCTCTGAAGTCAAAAACAATATAATTTTTGATAAATATGTTTAATTTTTTTAATATATTTTAAATACGTATTGAAACGTTTTACTACAGTGTTTTAAATAAATAAAATTAAAGCAAAACACTGAATATTTTTTTATTGCATTCAAATTTATAACACTATAATTAATGTAATCATGAGTAGTTATTTTTTCTAGAATAATTAATTCTCCTAGGTTACTTAAAATAATTAAACAAAAAATTATATATATGTACATTTTTGATAAATAATATTGCTTTGGCAGCAAAATTTATTTTGAGCAACCTTTAAAAATTTGCATGTGGTTTTTTAGAAGAAAACCCATTGAAACTATTTGTGAAACTGTTCATCAAAATATTCGTAGTGAAGTAAATGACTCAGACGAACCTTGTAGTTCATCAATAACACCTGATAACAAAGTTCCTATCAATAAATTAAACTTATTACACGAGAGATTAAAAAACATGACGGACATTTATGAGACTTTAAATCGGCTTAAACCCAAGAAAATATATGATCCTTTTGTTTCTGATAAAACGTTGCATCAGGATACTACATCAGAAAAAAATAAAAGGATTGGAAAAACTAATACCTCGTTAAATAGTCCAGTCGATATGAAAAATGATGAGTTAAATGCTCTCTCAAATAACATAGAGTCAATGAAAAACTGTTTTGTTCAATTAGCCGAAGCAGTAATTAAATAAATATGTGTATCTAATATAAGATTGATACTTTATGAAAATCAATATATTTTTAGATATCAAAAGTGGCTCTCGACCAAAATGAATTGAAACTAAAACTAGCTAATGTCTATGCAGAAACGTACAAACAAACGCGAGAAAATTTTGAGATTACTAGTGTGACACAAAGTTGCAAAAATATTGCAGAACCTGAAATAGTAGTAACTAAATCTCAAAGCATAACTACTGTTTCAAAAACAAAATTTGAAAATAATACAACAGTAAAGCAAATAAGAAAAGAAGAAATAGCACCGAAAAATTCGTCAAAAATCAAAACTACATCAACTAAAAAACTTTCAATCAATGATATTCGTAAAAAAAAACTTACAAGTTCTAAGGATAGTATGAGAAGTAAAGCTTCAAAACCAAGTAAAAAAATTCAAAACATGAATGGAGAAAGTTTAACCTCTAAACAAAAACTTTTAGAAAAGCATACTTCTACTACAGGTTTAAATGGAAAACACTTGGACAACCCTTTTAAAAATATACTAGAAGAAGGATCTTATACAGATATGACAGATGAGGTTCTTTTCTCTAACCTGGATAAGATTTTAAAAAGTATGAAAACACCTAACAACACTGTTGAAAATTCAATTGAGAGTAATATATTTAATTTAGATAGTAGTGCAGGATTTAATAGTAAATCGAAAAGTTTGTTAAATAAAATGTCACGAGAACTTAGTAATTCAAACAATTCTAAAGAGATTATCGAGGAAATACCGAAAAAAGACTTGGTGCCAGGTTGTGATAGAATATGCCAACAATTAAATTTAAAGTCATTGTATCCAAAACAATTTGAAGAAGGTTCATGGGATATTCTATCATTAAAAACAACTAATTTTCAAAAAATTATATCAGAAAAAAATAAAAATAATTTGAGTAATACTACTATTGATAAATCTATAGTCAACGAAGAAAAATGGCTGAGTTTTAACGAAATATGTGATATCATACTTAGGAATAATAATAAAGTAGACAAATTTAATCAGCACGAATTTATTAATGAACCTAAGCAAGAAAAAAAATTGAATACTGGCCAAATTGACGAAATGTATATAAAGAGCGAGTGTCATGACAATTTAAACAACCATATGTTAGAAACAAATGTTTCAGATAAACCCAATGGTTCCCAAAATAAACAAAATATGAAATTAGAGCAATGCTGCAGTAAAGAGATAAAAATTGAAGAAAAAAACGATGCAAATATGAACTTAGATGAGAAACTGAATTTAAGTTGTAATCAAAATGCTATATGTTCATTTCTTAAATCACAGCCAATACCAGAGTGGTCTAAAATATCTATATATTCTAGAAAAAATGAACTTGAAATGTCTTGTAAAAATGATGAGAACTATGAATTTTTACCATCTAAAATAGTACCACAGCGTACCAAATCTTCTGGTTGTTTAAGTAAATATAATGATGACAATAATGAAAAAGCTGAAAAAATCAAATTAAATAGACCCTCAACTTGTCCTTGTGAACGTAATAGTATCTGTAATTATTTAAAAACACAACCTATACCAGAGTGGGTAACATCAGAAAATACACTAAAAAATAAAGCTGAAAAAAAACAAGAGACTTCAAGTCGTTCATGTAAAAATAATGAAATTTGTCAATATCTAAAATCTCAACCAGAACCAGATTGGACAAAGTCAACAAATGAAAAGCATAACATTAATAAAATATTTAAGTGTAACAATGATGGCATATGTCAGTTTTTAAAATCGCAACCCGAACCAGAATGGACAAAAAATTCAAAACTTTTCCAAGAAAATAATAATATAGAAATTGTTGAAAATCATAAACCTTCAAGCAAATCGCCATTGAAAAATAATGATATATGTCAATTCCTAGATTCTCAACCACAACCAGAGTGGACATCAAAATGTCCTAATAAAAGCAATCTTAATTTAAAATATGAAATTAAAAAAGAAGAGAAAACTTCATGTACAAAATGTAATAGTAGTATTTGTGACTTTATTCAGACTAGATTGGAAACAAAAAGTACTTTAATGTCAGTTAACATTATAGAACCCAAAAAAACCAATTGTCCCATAAATATTGATAAGCAATCAAAAGGTAAATAATAATAGGTAAATTTTTAAAATTAAAATATGAAATTAACTTATTACTTATATTTTTATTGAATTTAATTTCAGAAATGAAGTCGGAAAGTGACTCATATTGTGACGAAAATAACATCTCTGAAAACACTAAAACATCATTTAACTCATACAATGCGAATAATTCCTTTTCTGGAAATCGAATAGATAAAATAGCTACTGATAATTCAGTAAATTTCGATTGTAAGAAACACAATGAAAATGGTCAATATGATTTGAGTGTAATGGACAAAAATAATTGTGATTTTCTGTCAAGTTCACTTGGTAATAAACAAGAGTCAATGTGTGTGTTACAATCCACAACTAATGATACTTCTAAAAGATTCAATAACGAAGTTTGCAATAAAAAATGCCCTATAATAGATTCTACATTAATCAATAACATTAACGTTGATTCAATATTGATCAAAAATAATCAAGAAGATGAAGAAATAAAATCTGGTAAAAAATGTTTTTGCCCTCAGAAAACTACTAATCCTATAATTGATGCTAAAAAAGATTCAACGAAATATCCTAAAGAAGATCAAAACACTAAAATATTAAGTCCTTGTGGACCGTGCATAGGCAAATACGAATCAGAAATTATGCAAAAAAGTTTTACTCAATGTCAATTAAATACTCAAAACGAGAAAAAAGATCATTGTGATATAATGGAACCGAATAACGAATTGAAAGAGAAAAAAACAATGAACGCTTTAGAGGAATCCAATATAAATAAAAGTACGATATGTCCGTGCTTTAAAAAAAAATCACTATTGATAAATGATTCAGACAAAAAAGATGAAATGCAGTTTCATAGCAATGTCCCATGTTCTTGTACACAAAATACGACATTCTTATGTTCTACGGAAGTCCAATCCGAATATCCCAGTACCGAACCCACTTAAGTAACTCGTGAAAACTAAATAGACCACAATAATAAATAATTATCATTACCTATCTTGTAGGTTTTTAACATAAACATTTGTTAAAAAGTTATTATACTATTTAAAATGTTGGTATATTGAATAACGTTGATAATTTTAATCATTTTTTCTTGTTACTTTAAAAAAGTGTTAAATAAGCAAAAAATTGGAGGTTCCAAGCATCACTTTCGTCAATATTGGTCATTTATATCTACTAAAAAAAACTAAACATCTTTCATAATTTTACCGAATATTTTGATTTTTTTTAAATTAAGTTGTGAATCAATTTTGCGTATAATAAAATGTTTTAGTTCAATTCTGGATTTATGGCGGATTATATATAAATTTACCAACGTTAGATATTGTTCTTCTTTTCCTTAGAATTTATCCCAATTACTTGCGATCAACCAACCGATCTCTTACATCATCTATATATACCCATACTTTTTGACAAAATTTTTATATCGGCTGTCGATCAGACGCAACCCCTCATTTATCGCCTTATTACGACTGGTAGAGGGGCTGTGAATGTATTCTGATCCCGTTCCGCAGGGTAAATACAAAAACATACCAATACTTGATAGTAAAATTAAATTTTAAATCGCTCATTTGTAAAAAGTATAAATCAAACAAAACTAGATAATTAGACAAAATACAAACGTGATAATATATCAAATAAAGCGCAATAAAATGTAACGACAAAATAATAGAGAATAAAGTTGTACTCTATTGTATTAATAAAATAATAAAATGATCTTGAGAACACTCGAGATCATTTTGATACTGGATAAGTTACAAGAAATATTACAATCAAATTTTATAATTTATCTGAATGGTTTACTACTTAAGAGATTGTTTGTGGTTGAAAACATAAATTAAATTTGTACGTGCCTTAAAACTTAAGGCATGTAATAATATTTTAAATAATCTAATATTGTTGCCGTGTATTAAAAGCAATGCGTGTACGTTTCCACAGCATATTGTGTAATCAATATAATTACTTATAAAAACATCTTATGCAAAATTTTCTTGCATAAAATCTGCGTTTGATTTCTATATGTAAAAGATTATAATAACTATTTTCACTGAAATATAACTTTAATTTGATTTTTATTTAATAAGTATCTTTTAATAAGAAAATATATTTTATTAAGAGAATGACATTAATAGTTTTTTAAGCTACCTCTAGCCTGACCAAAACAAGATTTAACAATATTTATATCTATGTAAAAAGTTATTAAGGCAGTATTGTGGTGGCATAATGTGTCCCGTTGCTGACGGCCTTGAAAAAATGCGGCAAAATATTTAACCAAAACAAAAATTAAACACTAAAAAATATATCCGTATATTTCTCCAAACTTTCTAAAAGATAAACTTATTAATCTAATATAAAAATGTTATTACTTTGTACTAACTAAAATCAATTTTTATCAGTTAGTCGTACACATACGTTGGAGTTATAGACTTTCATAATTATTGATGTAGAAACTTGTATTTATTTTAGAATGATTTTGATATGAGAAACTCAATAGTAATTTATTGTGAGAATGTCTCCTTTATTATGAAAAATACATGTTAATAATTGGGTGCTGGTTATATTTTATCATGAGTAATAAGGTTTCATTGATTTTCAATGGATTCATTTAAGATATTTTTCTCGTTTCATTGTTTTGTTACGTACATGTATTAACAGTAGCATGAAGTGGATCAATTAAAAGTTGTGATAAAAACGTTTTATTTGTGCAGCGTTAACAAAACTTGAAATATTTAAATTCGGGTACTCCATTAGATAAATAACGTGCATGTACTCCTTTAATTGCTACTTTTTGGTAGATTTTATCTTTTATAGGTGTATTAACTATACAAACTCTGTCGTGCAGTACACGAGTATTATAATTTAAGTAATAAAATATTTTATTTTATACAGAGATTGAATTTTATTTTTTAGCAAAATTTTAAATAAAATAACGTAGTTGTGTGGCATAACTTTAAACTTCAATTCTCAAAAGTAAAAATTATATATTCTGCTAACTTTTTTAAACAAATTTTTTATTATGAAACCTATTCAAAAAATTATAAGAGTTGGAATCTTGACTAGTAAGTTATAATTAATATACTGAATAAAATCGTATATTTCATTAATATTAAAGGTTGATGTGTAATTATATAACTTATATATTTTTGTTTTTAAACATAACTTTTTTAACATGTAATTTTTCAAAAATTCTATCTTAATAAAAAAAAATGGCAAAACTCCAAAAATATAAGTGAATATATTCATCATTTTTTTAAATTAAAAATTTTTTAAAAATTTACAAATTTATTAATATTTTAACAATGAATAATGTAATATTAGATTTTGAAATTATTATTATTTTAATAATTACTCTAAATATCCTTTTTGTATTGTATTAATATTAAAATTTTTCTTTAACTGTTGATGAATATTATTTTACTTTATTAACATTAGTATTGATGGAATAACCAAAGTGGCAATAGCTGTATTTTTTGGATAATTTGTTAAAAAATAGTTTTATACTTTTACAAATTCTAATAGCTAAATTTGAATTTTTACAACATTTTTGATTAATAATAACTGCTGAGATATTCAACTAAGATACAAAACAAATATTTAAACCAAAATATTTTTCTTAAGGCATCAATAACTATTCACTTAAACTTAAAATAATAAAATCTTTTAGTTAGTGACTCAAGAACTGAATCAAATCTAGACCCAACAAAGTTTGATTTAAGTGGCCAAAATTTGAAAGAATTAATAGATGTTCAAAACATAATAGATAGTGGCAAAGTAACTAATTACGAATGTATTACTGATGATTATGAAATAATAAAGGTAATTGTTACTTTTATATTTAGGAAAATTAATTATGATTTATTGTAAAATTCTTTAAATATATTAGAAATCTATTTTATAAGCTACAATAAGTTGTCTGATAAAAATAAGTATATCTAGTTAAGGACAAATAGTTTTGAAAATTTATTTATATTTAATAACTTAACATGTTAGATGATACATTATTATTAGAAAGCACAATAACTAAAGCTTCAATAATTGATCTCATTTGCTTATTTTAATAATAAAGTCTAGTAATTTTTTTTTCTTCCTTTAAAATTCTGACCTTAAGTTCAGACTGCAAGTAGTACTATGGACAATAGAGTCATTGATCCTTCATATCCTTGCATATGCCGTTGTTGTTTGTATGTAATTTAATTTTAATTTAAGAACCCCATAAAAATAAAAATGCATTTATTTTATATTTAATGAAGTAAACATAAAAATAGAAATAGCATAACTTTGTTGATAGGGAGGTCTTCTAAAGATTACTGTTACAGGTTTGATACTGAGTTAATTAAATGTTAAGAATGCTTTTAAAAAACAGTAATATCATTCATGAGACATTTAGCTTAAAAAATAAAAAAAAATTTGAATTATTTTTACAGAAAAAAATGATTGACTGGTGTTCTTCAGACAATATAGATGTGTTATTGAGCACAGGAGGTACTGGTTTAAGTCCACGAGATGTAACTCCTGAAGCTACTTTAGGAATCATTCAAAAGCTAACCCCTGGAATAACTCAAACAATATTAAATGAAAGTTTAAAAATCACACCAATGGCAATGCTTTCTCGGTAAGTCTTTTTTATTAATTGCAATTTGATAGAAAGACAAAAAAATTAAATTAAAAATATATTTGATATTATTTTTTCTTGTTACATAATTAGTGCTGTGTCAGGAATTTGTAAAAGTACTTTAGTAATAAATCTCCCTGGAAGTAAAAAAGCTTCTGAAGAATGTTTACGTATAGTATCTAAAGTTATACCTCATGCAGTTTCACTTATAAGAGATGAAAAAGATATTAGTAATGAATTTCATATACAGATAGTGAAAGCAAATAGCAATAAAATTTCTACTGTGCCGGTAATAACAGCATTAATTGTTTAAAAAAAAGAAAATAAGTAGTTTAGTGTTTAATACATAGTGAACAAAATCAATATAATGTAATAAAAAACTTTAACTCTGTAACTGTTCATTATTAATTGCTATACAACCTTCCTTTGTTTAGAAGATAATATTTAATGTTATAAATTCATATTTGTAACTTTTTATAAAATAAAGTTACAGAATTTAAAAATTTCAATATTCTTATATGCCTATAAAATTGTATTACTTATACTTTTGCTCTATAGTAATGGGTTGGGTACTTGACATATTCATCACCAAATACAAATTTTTCTTGGGTGATTTTGTTTACAGGTATTTTAAATACAACTGCTATCACAAAATGTAAAAAAATTAAAATAATGATCATTATTGAGAATTTCAAATTCTCATTTTTTATATGATAAATAATGTCTGAGAAAAATAATAATATGAAATGGATATATTTTGAGTATTATCACAAAAAGCCATATAGAGTAGATATTGTAGAAAAAAAAATTGTTCAGAATAATAGAAGTAAAAATATAACTTTTGAAAACCAAATATCTCGTAATATTAAGACATCAAATAGGTATTATTTATTTAAAGCAATGGCATCTAATAAACATATATTAGGCATTAACTTAATATCTAAAAATGGTCTAAACACAACCCTATTTAATAATTCATATTGATCTTTTTACACTCTAAAGGAATTGTTTTGATCATATTGTAAAATAATTGTAAATTACATTTTTGTTTTTTAAATTATCAAAAACTTTTTAAATTATTTACTTATAATATTTTATTTCAGGATTGTGTTACAAAAATAGCATTACGAAATAGAGAGTCCCCTTATTCTAAGATCAGTATTGAAAATGCTTTAAGTTTATTGAAAGAACATTCATTTGAACGCTATTTGCAAAAAAATATGTGAGTTCTTTTGTTTTTTATCAATTTGAAGCTGAGAAGGTATTGGTTTTACTATGATGTGTTTTTTTTTTTTGTGTCTGTTACCACTTTTTCTCAGCTCTCACTGAACGGATTTCTTTCAACGATACGTCAAAAGATCACAAATCGTATCTAGTCGAAGACATTACCCTCAAAAATTGAACATTTTTCTTCCGTTCACCGTAAATGGGAGACATTATCCTTAAAAATTGAAAAAATTTCCCTCGTTCCCCGTAAATGAGGGAAACCTTCAAAAAAATTACAAATATAAAAATCGCGTTTTTTTGACATTTTTTCAATTTTTTTTACTAAAAACTGCCATAACTTTTTCAAAATTAAACATATCAATATAATTTTTTTTTTTTTATAGATGTTTGATTTTATTTTTACATATTTAACTTTATAATGCTATAACTTATTGAAAAGAGTATGGATCAACACTATTTTTTTATGAAAAATAATATTTTTTATAATTATCCCTTTTTTATTCGACATACTTTATCTTAATCAAAATATTAATAAGGAACTAGCAGATCATATAGCTTTTGGAATAATACACCAATTTTTTAAAATTAAACACTATCTAATGATTTGTATCGAAGCGTTTTTTTCTGATAGTGATTTTAATCACTGTCAGATATCATTATACTTGATCCAACTATGCCATGACCCCCCTGTGCTGGGTTTTTTATTGTTAAATTTCAAGTTAAGGAAATTTTTATAAAAAGAGAACATCAATGATTGGAATATTAACTAAACATATTTTATTTAATAATTTTATTTAAAATTCCTTCTAACTATTAATATTAGTTATTATTAAATTGTCTATTAAATTATTCAGATCTCCAAACATTTGGATTTTTTCTACTGGTGATGAATTAAAAAATAATGAGGAATCAGGAAAAAGTCTTATTAGAGACACAAATTCTTCTATGATTCAAGATATTCTTTACAATGATAGGCATTTCAATATTCAATGTGGACAAATCATAAGTGATGAGTAAGCATTTGTCTGTAAAAGTATGAAGTACTTTTTATAAGTATGTAATTAAATTATTTAGCTGGTATGAACTCTGTTGTGCTTTTCAAACAGCTTTTGTTAATGCTGATGTAATAGTAACTAGTGGAGGTGTATCCATGGGTGAGAAAGATTTAATAAAACATGTACTTAAAGAGCATTTTCATGCCGATATTCATTTTGGAAGAGTTAATTTAAAGCCTGGGTAATATTGATTTTTGAATTCTATTATGATACATTACATTATGATTTATATAATATACAGATTACCTACTACATTTGCCACTTTAAATTTTGAAAAAAAAAAGAAATTCATTTTTTGCTTACCGGGAAATCCAGTGTCAGCTGGTGTTTGTACTCATTTATTTGTACTACCATTTTTAAGATCAGCTGCTGGTAGATCTCACATTTTTTATTCTTTAAAAGCAATGGTAAACATAACTTTACATTAGTACAACTCTATTCTGTATTTTTATTGTTTAAAATAATATTTTAAATGTGTATAGCTAACACATAGAATTTCAAATTTGGATATAAGACCAGAATTCAAAAGAGCATCACTTAAGTATGAAAATGGAAAGTTTAATGTATCGTGTTTAAGTTAGTAAAATTATAATTAAAGTCATTAAAATATTTTATGTGTAGTTTTAATTCAGTTTTATATACACTAGTGAAATATCTACATTAGTGTCTTACTTTAAAAAAATAATTTTTTTAGTTAAACATCAACAAAGTAGCAGACTTTTAAGTTTTGTTGGTTCTAATTGTCTACTGCAGTTACCATCATCTACTGAACAAAATATAGTTGAAGCAGGAACAATATGTAATGTTTTTCTTACAGACAATATAGAAAGCATTTATTATGAAAGTTCATTTTCTTTTTATAATAATGAAGTTTGGCCAAAGGTTAATTTAAGAATCACTATATTAATTCTAAAGAAAATAATAATTGAAGGGTTTTCTGTAAAAGGGAGTAGCTCTAATTTTTGGGCTCTTAAAACAAAAAGGAACATTTTCCTGATTAATACTAGATAAAACCTTTAGTATTTGTGAAATAATATAAAGAATAAAGTTACAAACAACATTGTGTATTAGATAAAAATATAAAACCTTGTTAATAATTTTTTTTAAATTAGAAAATATAGCTACCTTCTTTTTACAGCTATAGTTCACATATTTCAACAAATATATTTGTCTTCACATTTATTTTTGTTAAAATTTTACTTCAAGTATTAACATTATGTATTATATATTATATTATATAAATATTGATGTTTAATATTCTCTCTAAAAGCTATTGCTTAGCTAGAAAGGTCGAGAAAACATACATAACCTAATGTAATAGATTTAAATCCTGGTACTTAAGCACCAAAGCTCGATGTGTTACCAACTGAGCTAAATAGGTCGAATTCATGAATCAAAACAAATTGTTACATTTTTAAAAGTTCATTAAGAAAATGGGTCAGATGTTTGAACAAATTTTACTTATTGATGGTTAATATAAAATATTATGTTACCCAATTTTAAGCATAATTTATACAATTTTATGATTATACTGTATTAAATGAAATTGAATTTACAGGAATCATATAGTAACTTAAACATACAGATTTTGTTAAAAAAAATGAAAAGAAAATTTTTTACTAATGCAATTTTAATACCAATTGAGTAAATAAAATCATTATTTTTAATTATTTAGCTATTATAAAATGTATGTTTATTTAAAGATTAGCAGAAGGACATTCTTTATTTTCAACAATTTATTCTCCGGAAAATTTACCACCTTACTGTGCTTCAATCAAAGATGGATATGCTATTAAACTAAACAAAGATGAAATTTGGCACAATCATGAACAAAAATTGTTTAAAGTGGTGCAAATATCAGTAGCTGGAACTGAAGTAAACTATTTTAATTTTATCTGTTTCCATATAAATAATAATAACAATTGATATTTTGATTCCAATATTATTGTTTATGTATTATTGTATATTATTATATATGTAATGTTGTGAATTAATTATATTTAGATTTGTAAAATGTAGTATGCACTCAGATATACTTTTTGAATTTGTCACAGTACATAATCAATATTGATCTGGAACCATATTTTCTTTAGCTACATACCACACTAACGGCCCAAACGATACATATTAGTTTAATGTACAATCATTAAGTGATATGTTTGCAAATAGTATGCCTCGATGCATAAGAACTAATTCCATATCTTGCCTTTTTTTCATATTAATGCTTTTTTGTTCTAAATGTATATAAAAATAAAAATCAAAAAATCAGTTTTTGGTATCAAAATTTTAGAAAATGTTAGATGTATAAATTATTAAAATAGTGATTATAAATGTTAAAAAATTGAATATTTTTAGTGGATATAGAATTTTTAAACACTTTAAGAAAATAAAAACATCTATATGTAATTGTTATAAAGACATATTATTAACAAATTATTAAAACTGTTAAAATTCAAAGCTAATATAACGATGTACAAATTTTAATATTAAATGTTTTTTAGGATACTATGATGCATTCGATCATTATGGGATTTAATCCTTGCTAGCTGTGTCAGAATGGTTCACAATATTTTGACAAGTTGAGATAAGAATCATTATAGGATTTGTCAAAATATTGTAAATCACAATTATATAACATTTTTTGATTATTTAAAAATACTAATTAAAACCATTTTTAATATCTTTTTCTTGATTAATATTAATATTTTATTATACTTAAGCCATCTCATCAAAAAGAGCTTGAATTTGGTGATTGTGCTCGAATAAGTACTGGTGCGCCTCTACCCCCTGGTGCTAATTGTGTTGTACAAGTTGAAGATACATCTCTAGTATCTAAATCATTAGAAGAGACATTAGAAATGGAAATTCTAGTTTTGAAAAAGCCAAAAATTTTAGATAATATTAGGTAAATATCATTTGCTATTAATTATTCATAAATATATTATTAGAAACATTATCTATATTTCTTAATAATTTATTTCATATTTTCAATATAAATTTTTTGACTAAATTTATTGCATCTAAGTGGTGAGACATCAATTAACTGAGGAAAACATAGTCTGACTCTGAATTTAAATTAGCTTGAAGTATGGCCATCAAGTTCTATTGTGATAAATGATTTTCAGATTAAACTGTTATTTCTTAAGTAGTCTTTTAACAAGAGTCATTCATGGTAGGTAAGAATGAAGTGATGTTTACCTCTACTAGATCTGAGGCTTAAGTTCTTTTGCTCCCTTTTATAAGTCTTGAGTGATGAGAAGTGAGTGGAATTTGGTTTGATCTATGTTTTATTTTCAAACTAATGAATGAATTTAACCTATTATCCATATTTACTCTCAAAATTAAATTTTCATTTTTCTAATCATAATATCAGGAAATTGGATACTTTTTATGTGTTTTTCCAATTTACAAGCTATAGGCTAAAAGTTCCTATTTTCAGTTGAAATAATTTAGTGAATTAATCTCTTTATATATTATTTGTAATACTTATAATGTGTATTTAAATATTGTTTTACTGTAAATATTTTACAACTTCAATTGAGATATATATTGTATAATTTTATACTACCTACCATTTATTATTTTGTAATTGGGATATTACCAGTTTAAATAAATAAATACTAAAATAATAGAAAGTAGCCTCCTAAGTCTATCAGTTTTCCACTATCTTTTGCATGGGTTAAACATCTATTACTTCTAAATGGTCTAGGATTTTCTAATGAAATCATTATAAGTGGTTATCAGATAAATAATTTATACACTTAAAATTATAATTTACAATTCTCTTTACAGAAATATTGGATCCGATATAGCCTTAGGACAAGAACTTTTGTGTGAAGGTGTTATACTAAATCCTTATAATAAGGGTTTATTAAAATCAGTTGGCATTGATCATGTTACTGTATATAAGTAATTTTTCTGTTTAAAATAATTTTTGATAATGCTTCTAAATTTTATTTGAAATTATAGAACACCAAATGTAGAAATTATTCCACACGTTAATTCTAATACTTGTGAAGTTTCCAAAATGCTGTGTGACAACATATGTAAAGGATTTAGTATATTAAAAACACCAAAAATGAATCAAAGTTTTACTGAGTAATATATTATGTATTTTATGATAAAATCGTATTTTTTATTCCTTGTTTTTAATGTTAAAAAATAAAATTTATTTTTTTTTATTTAAAATTTTAAAATAACTAGATTTTAGTTCTTTTCTTTAAAAAATTGTTAATTGGTCAATAACAATTGTAGAATAAGTAATTATTGAGCTACAAGCATACATTGAGTGAGTAGCGTGGGAGGTACAGATCGTACTGATGTATATTAATAATGCATAATCCACTTGAAATTTTTAAAAACATTTAAAAATTAAAAAAAAAA